AGTGTGGCCCACACCATGAGCATCCCTGCTGCATCTTCCCAACATTCCCCAAGCTGAACCCCATGGAATGGTGCAGGAATCCCCAGGAATCAAAGGGATCCCAGCTGCATCCTTCCTCACCAAAAGGGTCTTCCATTTCCAGCCACGTCCCTGTCAAGGCCTTAAGCTCAGGATCTACTCTGATTTATTCTGCTCCACCTGCAATAAACCCTGTAGGGCTGGTTTTTGTGTGGGGCCACTTGTTTGTTTTCCCCCAGCAGGCAGGTTTGCAGGGAGGGCTCATTCACCTGCTCCCAGGTGAGCTTCCCCCATGCTGCCCTTCTCTCAGGGCATGTATCTCACTCTTCATTACAGGGCAGGGATCTTAAATTACCCCTTTCATTCCCTGACCTTCCTCTGCTTCCAGCACACTCACTGCTTCATGGCAAGAGCAACCACAATGTTCTCTCCCAGGGCACTTCCTAACTCAGCTCCTTTTCCCACCAACCTGCTCTTGGCACCTGCTTCCTTCCAGCAAACATTTCCCCTGCTGAAACTCCAAAGGTCTCCACTTTCCTCCTGACACTGGAACAAAATTGCTGACATTTCTCAACTTTTCCCTTCTCAGCTTCCTTGGGAAATCTCAACATGATCACAGGGTGAGGGTTGTTGTTTTTTTTTCTCAGGGTGGAGGGAGCACCTTGGATGGGCTGTGGTTCTCCCAAGGGAAAGCAGAGAGCCATGTTGCCTTGGAAAAACATGAGCAGAACTGAATTCAGCTTAGCAGGAGCCTGAGGTGACATCTAAAGACCTCCCACTGCTCTTGCTCAATCGGTCTGGTTCCACTGCTGCTTCAAAACACCCTTCCTGGAGTGCTAATGCCACTTGGCCCAGCAAAAGTGGAGAAGATCCAGTCCACAGGGGCAGATCAAGAGGCTGTGAGGAGCAGAGACCCCCTGGCAGAACCAATACTAACCCAGCAGCCACCAGGACATGGGGCAAACTCAAGGGAAAGCATGAGAGCAGGAAAAACTGTCCAGCCCTCAACATTCCCAGCAATCCAGGCCTTTCAAGAGGAAGGATGGTGAACAGAAAAGCTCCCTTGGGTTAGATACCACCAACAGATGGGCAAAACCAAGGAGAGAATCCCCAGCACAGGAAGATTTTTTACCACCTTGTAAAATAATCATTGAGTCATTAAGGTCAGAAATGATGCCTAAAATCATCAAGTCCAACCATCAACTCAACACCACCATGTCCACTAAACCATGGCCCAAAGTGCCATGGCTACATGTTTTTGGAAACCCCTCCAGGGATGGGGACTCCCCCCTTGCCCTGGGCAGCCTGGGCCAGGGCCTGACAGCCCTTTGGGGGAAGAAACTGTTCCAAGATCCAACCTAAACCTCCCCTGGGCAACTTGGGGCCATCTCCTCTTGTCCCATCCCTTGTTCCTGGGGAGCAGAGCCCGACCCCCCTGGCTCCAACCTCCTCTCAGCAGCTGCAGAGCCAGCAGGTCTCCCCTCAGCTCCTTGTCTCCAGGCTGGACACCCCCAGCTCCCTCAGCTGCTCCTCACAAGTTCTCCAGACCCTTCTCCTTCTGCCCCAGCCCCTTCCCCAGCTCCCTTGCCCTTCCCTGGCCATGCTCCAGCCCCTCCATGTTCTCCTTGTCCCGAGGGGCCCAGACCTGACCCCAGGATTAGAGGTGCAGCCTCAGCAGTGCCCAGCACAGGGGTGACACTTGCTGTGCCACCCAGCACGTGGCTCACACCCCTCTGTGCCAGCAGTGCCCCATCTCCACCTCCCAGCACTCACCTTGTCATTGTTCCTCAGAACCAGGGGCACTTGGTAGACCTGGCAGGGGACATAGTTCTGGAACACCACCTCTGTTGGGAAAGGCTGAAACAAGCTCTGCTCCAGGTCAACTGCTGAGAACTGAAGGTACAGAACAGAGCAGTGAAAGAGAGAGATGCTCAGGAATGAGAATCCCACCTGGATCTGCAGTGAAGCACAGTCTCTTGGATCTACTCCAGGAAAGAGCAGCTCCCCCATCTGAGTGCTGAGCTGATCCAAACTTTCTGGACCAACCACCTCGAGCAGGTAGATGCTTCTCCAAGAAGTTCCTCTCCCCAAAACACCAGGCAGAGCTCAGCTAACCTGTGCTAACCTGGTCCCACAGCTCCAAAGCACCTGCTGAGACAACCCTGAGCACCCACCAAGCAAATGAGACTCAAAAACCTTCCAGGAGACTCAAAAACCTTCCATGAGACTCCACAGGAGATTTTTGGGGATGATCTTCCTTCTGAGACCAAGGGACCCAAGTCCTACATGGCCCCAAGTATCTTGCTTTGCTACAGAGCCTAGAAAAAGAGAACAGCCCTTCAGAGATAAGGCCAAAAAATGTCACACACTCCTCAGGAGAAGCAAGGGAGGTGAATGTTGGTTCAGCTCTTCTGAGCATGACTGGGCAGCTGAAGACTAGACTTGGCATCTCCTTTTTTTCCAGGAGCTTTGTTGTATCCTATTATTGCTGGGGGTTGTTTTAATACCCCTGTCTGAAAATCTACCCAAACAGCAAATGCTCACAGAGCAGAGGAATGACTTGGGGGGGAAATTCCTCCCTGCTTGGTCTCCCCTCTTCCAGCTGCTCTGTTGCCACCAGAAAGACACAGACAGCTCTCCTGGTTCTCCCCAGAAGTCACTGCTAGTTATGTGGGTGCCCTTTTCATCCTTCCCAACCTCATCTGCTGTCCAGAACCAGTTTGTTACCAATATCTTCCTGGCAACTTCCCTCAACAGCTACCCCAGTAACCTGCCTGCTTGGCCTGTGTGTTATGCTGAGCAGTCCTGTAAGAAAAAGGAGCTTTCAACATATATCTGAGTAACCCCTGAGCCAGATAAAGCTGCACTTGGCCCAGGGTGACTTCCCTGTGTATCTGACAGGATCCTGCAAACCTAACACCCTGGGTAAAGGTGCCACGTGTTGTTCCAACATCATTCATGCAATTTGGTTTGGTTAAACCTTGCATCATTCCCACAGAGCCTGCAGCCTCCAGAGGCCACTGCTGTCACCCTGGGGGGAGGCAGGACCCTGAGAATCTGTGCAGTGGGCACTCCAGAGAAAGAGGTGGCTATTTCAGAAGTAGGATGGGGAAATGCAAGTATATGTCCTTGTGGCCTGCCCCACTTTTCTCCTCCTATCACCTTCTAGCAGTGGCAGCTGAGCTCCAGCAAACCCCTCTGCTGCCAGCAGAGCTTCTGTTGGTTTCCTGCACATCAGGACTTCAACATCTCTCCCCATGGAGAAAGGTTTGCCTGTCACAGGCACACACCCTCCTCAAATGTCACATCAACCAGCAAGGGAAAGGGCAGGGAAAGGGGCAGGGAAAGGAGCAGGGAAAGGGGCAGGGAAAGGGGCAGGAAAAGGGGCAGGAAAAGGGCAGGAAAAGGGGCAGGAAAAGGCTACCTTTTGATGGGATGTCTCACTCATGTCTAGAAGCTGGAGAACCTGGGGCTGTTTCACCTCCCTGGTGCTGGCCAGTCTCTGCTGGGTGGTGAGAGCCATCTCCTTCAGGAAGGCAGAGGGAGTCAGCTGGAAAGCAAAACCAGCAGCAAGAGCTCCAGAAATGCCTTTGTTTAGAAAGGCTTTTCTTGTTCCATGGGCCACTGCTAAATAATTTGTGACCACAGGCACTAGGAGAGTCCTGGAAGTCCCATCAGGTACCTGCTGAATTATTTACCAGGAGGAAATGAATGATGTAGAGCAGAACCCATGTGCTGCAACCAAGTGGTTCTGTCCCATTAGCTTCTCCTTGATGTGACATATTTGGGGATTTCTGCTCTTTGGGCATTTCCCACCCCCCTTTTGAGCCAGCAACCTTGGAAGAGAGTGGGGAGGAGTGATCAGAAAACCCCCCCAACTCCATCCTTGCCCACTGGTCACCACCAGCAGGAGGGTGGAGATGTCACTGCTGGGTGAGGCAGGGGAAAGGAGAAGAGCAGCACTGTCCCCAGCCTGATGCAAGGAGGAATGTGTCCAAGATTTACTCATCTCTTTAATTAGCACTTGTTTTCTCTCTGTTCTGGCCTCCACAGCAGCACAGAGAGATGTCTCCTTGGCAGAGCCTCAGCACTAGGTCATCTCCTGCCAAGTGAGCTCCACTCAGCAGAAGGTGCATCTGGGGATGGGAAGAACTGCCCTGACTCCACTGCTGCCTGCAGGGCTGGCTCTGTGCTCCCCCCAGGGTGTGACACCCTGGTTTGGGACCCATTCTGCCTGTGTCTCAAGTCTTCAGGCAGAGCTTGAGCTGCCCCACCTGCCTGCTGGGCAGGTAGGGTGAGGGCAGCATGACAAGAGGCTACTGCCCAGCTGAGGAGGGTGGGAAGAAGCCTAGAGTCACATTTCAGATGTTGCAGTGCCCTGGGCATTCATTCATTCATTCATTCATTCATTCATTCATTCATTCATTCATTCCACTTGGCTCCAGTGGCACCTCCAGGCAAGAGCCTGGACTTTCCCTGGAGCAGCACATGGGCCAAACCCCACTCACTGCACCACGACCTCCAAGAGGGCAGCAAGGAGATGGGGAGGTGGTCTCTGCTTTCAGTGCTGCCAGGCAGAAGGAGGGGAAGGCAGAGGGGAGGGAGTTTCCAGCCCCAGCAGCTCCCAGCTGGCCCCAGCAGGTACTTACAGTTACAGACTCCTCTGCCTCTCTGAGCAGCTTTGGATGCTGAGCTGCTCCCACCTTGCTGTGGAACCCCTCAGCTGCTTTGGAGGACCCCATGGATGGATGGAGCTTGCTGCTGGCCATGCCTCAGCTCACCTGCAAGAAGCAACAGCAGGACTTTTAACATCCAAAAAAATCCCACGGGTGGCAGATCCAAAGGCCACCCCTGCCCCTCCAGGCTGGGATGTGCTTCCCAAGTGGAAAACACAAGCACACCCTCCCCACTTCATGACCAGACCATATTTCAGAGGCAGAATGAAGATTCAGAGCAGTAAAAGCCCAGAATAAACATGCCCTGAGCCAAAACAGCCCTTCACTGTGGTCCCAGGAGCCACACACACCAGGACCTGCTCACACCCCTCCTCTTCCCCTCCCCATCACTTTTGGAACCCCATTTCCTGGGATGATTAACTAAAGGGAGGGAGGTGTCATTGAGCTGCTTCATTTTGCAAGAGCAGCTGATGGGATGTGAACCCCCTTTCCACCCCTGGCTCACCACTGCCCCAAGCATGAGCAGAGATGAGATCACTTGCCTGCTTTGCAAACCAAATGCCCACCCCCTCCACGTGCCAGGAGCCTGCTGATGTTCCCAGCTAATGGACCAGAAGGGTTCAATACTCTGATTAAGAGCTATTAGTTTCTCAAGGCTAATTGGGTGATTTTAAGTTACAAAAATTAGCCAGCAAATATGACTCCTGCCAGGCATGAAATTACCACAGGGCCCAAGAACATCTCTCCATGAAGTATGAGGGCCCTAATGTTCACTGATTAACACCCAAATTCCAGGCTCCCTAGAGACATTAGAGGCTTTAACAGCAGAAATAAAAGCCTGAAACAATGAGTTCCTATAGAAATGCAACCTCTGGGAAAGCAGGGCCACTGAAGGCTTTATCCCAAGGTCTTCTCCAGCATCCTCAGCCAAAAAGCAGCACAGGTTAACAGGTCTGTGGACCATCCTTCTTCCAGTCAATAGCCTGGTGAGCACCTCCCTTCATCTGTTTCACACCAAGTGGGTGTGCAAGGGTCTCAAGCACTGACCAAAATTAGAAGTAACCACCTCCAGCATCTGCTAAGCTGGACCAGGAATGATCTTCCCTTCCCCTTCTGGCTAACTGGACCAATGGATTTACCCTCTTCTTCTTTTCTGGGACTTGAAAGTCTCTCCAACTCAGCTCTACTCTAAGCTTTTCCATCCTGACATGGAGCCAAAACACAGCTCATATTCCCTCCTGCTTCCATTCATCCCACATCAGCTCCTTCATGTGCCCTTCCTGCACCCAGCAAGACACCACCCACCCAAGGGTGACCCTTGGCTTCAAGTTTTACCCACACCCTGCAAGCCAGGCAAGGAACTTTATCCCTTGACTCCCCAAACAGCTACATCATCACCCATGTCCATCTTGTTGGGCTCTTTATGGTTTCAGGAATTGACAAGGCTGCTGTTTCCTTGCCTTCCCTTAAGAAACACAGGCCCAGCCCCATTCTGTGGGCACCAGGCCATGCTGCAGCAAGGGCCAGGATTTAAAGCTGGAAAGAACTGTTTTCCAAGGGAAACAATTCTAATGGGGATGATAGAACATTCATCTGGATTTCAGGGTTTTATTGCTGGGGTTTGAGAATAACTCCATGCTCTGCTCCAATCTTCTAACTGTAATTTCACTTCACTTGAAATGAATCCTGCCCACAGTTCTTATTTCCAGGGAGTTTCCCACCCCCACATCCCCATCCCAGGCCCTTCCACAGTCCCACAGTTCCCATGCCCCACAGCCTGCAGGGATCAGCCTCCCAGATGAGGAGGAGAAAAGCAGAACAACAAAAACCAGCCACATCTCCCTGTAAAGGCAGGAAAAAACAACCCCATCTACCAGGACACAGAGCAGCTCCAACCCACCATCCCTGTGTGGTGAGGGGGGATTTCCACCTTTCCCACCTCTCTTCCCCACCAGGAAGGGTTGCAATTCCAGTTCCCCCTTTCCCTGCTTCAGGCTCAGGGCACTGAGGTGCAGAGGAGGAACGTGTGGAGCCTGGGGCAGAGGAACCAGCTCTGTTCCCACCACCTAGAAGAGCAATGAAGAAAGATGCTCAGGGCTGGGGTAGAAATTCCTGCCATGCCTCAGGAAACCCAGATGCATCCCAGCAGGTCACTCTGGACAATCCAAGCTTCCTCCCCCAGGCTCCCTTGGCTCCATGTACCCAAAGTTTGAAGCCTTTTCTCATCACTACAAGCTGCACCATCATTTCAGAGCCCATTAAAAACCCTTCTACCTGCTCTTAGCCCAGTTCAATCCTGCCCCAGGAGCCCACAGCTGCTGTCAGAAGTGCCTCCTCCTTGCTCGGTGGCCACACATACCTTATGGCAGGTGATTCCCACTTCTCTGGGAGGATCCACTTGGTTTGGTGCCCAGTGGTCCTGCCTGAACCCCCAGGGGCTCCTTGGTTCCAGGCAGGAAACCGTTGGTGTTGCTGCCCCCCCCCCCAGCAACTGTCACTGGGCTGGTGGCTCCTGAGACCAGTACAAGACTTGGGAACTGGCCTCTGCCTCCTTCTCCCCAACTGGCACAGGCAGAGGAGGGTTTTAGCAGGACCTCAAGGAAGGGGAGAGCTCAGAACCTGCTCTTTTTCCCTGCTGCTGGGCTCCTCCTGCTCTGAACGTGGGGAGACACTGCCCAGGCTCACAGGGTGCTGTGCAAAGCTCCTCAGCCTGTGTGGAGCACAGAGTCACAGCCCTGGCACGGGCAGGAAAGACCTCTAAGACCATTAAGTCCAACTGTCCACTCAAAAATACCCAACCCACCCCCACCAAACCCAATCCACCC